CTTAACCCGGGCGTCTACCTTGTAGTGATTTTTATCATGACTCAAGACTCACTGTAGGCTCATCTTTTATAATTCATGTTCAGGCTAACCATAACCCAAGGTTGAGCATACATGTAAAAACATGCATCCTGAAGCAATTAATTTGTCATTGTTTCAAATAACCCGATCTAATCATTTCAACTGTTTACTATACACAAATTTATACCGGTTTGCTTTCTAAATGTAATGATTTCTTTCTTCCTGTACTTTCATCTTTGCCATATCCCAATAATTTTTGACTCGCCAACAGGGCTCCTTACCAAATAGTACGATGATCCCCGCTGTTTTGACGAGCATTTGGTTTTCGGGCTACTGCTAAGTCGAAGCCTACATACTTCCCCTCCCTGGATATCCGCGCCTGACCGCAACATGAAGAATATTCGCAATTGGCTGACGACCAGTCATGAAATCCCCGATATCCCCGAAGTAATAAATATCAATGTATGCCCTTACTATTGTTGTCATGCTTTATAAGACGTGGATATTATTTCGTAACAGTACCACCGCATATAAATGATGTTCCTTTCAATTGCATCTTTAGATCATACTCTTATACTAATTAAATACGCGGATCTCTACGGAAATCTTTCGTAACTATGATTAAAAACACAAAAAAAAAATCTGAATAGGGCTTGAAGGATGTAAAGTATTATGATAAAAGCCTTCTTAACGTGATCACAGAACACTGTTTTGCAGTATTGTAATTGACGGAGAGTATACCGTCAAGAAATAAATTAGTCTCATGATTTGAACACATCTTTTCTAGTGAAACAGGGCTCATTAGCCTGAACATGACTTATAAAAGATATGTGAAATAAATCAGAGAGCCATCAAACAACACGTACGGCACATGACAAGAGTACGAATGAATTTGATGGAAATACCTTTGTTTTCCACCCGAACAGGTATCTTATCCTTTTAGTCCTATTTTAAACCTCTTCAGCATCATAAATATGTCCAAAGAGTAAAGAAATTGCACAATTAATGAAAGACATATTAAAATTCCAGCGGATATGTGAAAAAATTGTGCACTTTTGCATAAAAGCGTGAAACTTGGCACAGATGTTTATATTCATGCGAGAAAATGTTTTAGATGTGGAGCCATCGCAAATTTACCCTTTTAGGGGCGTGGCATCCATTTAAAAAAAAGAGGGCCGGGACTTGTCGTGCCCGCAGTAAAAATGGTTTTTCCCACTTGTTACAAAAGCAGGAAACTTCACAAAGACATAATTATATAGATTATTAGTGTTTTCCAGATTCGGAGCCACCACAAAAGTACCTTTTTAGGGGCGTGGCAGCCATTAAAAGAAAAGGGGGGGTTTAATTATTATGCCCACTTTGGAAAACATTGTGACCATATTTCATGAACGAATAAAACGTCCCACAGACGTTTATATTCATGAGAAAAAAAAATCCAGATGTGGAGCCATCTCGAACACACCCTTTTAGGGGCGTGGCAATCATATAGGAAAAAAAAGGGGGGGCGGGGTTTTCATTATGCCCACCCTGGAAATATTGTTCCCACACTCATAGAGAAATGGAACTTTCCACAAACATTGACATTCATTAGAAAACAAATTCCAGATGTGGAGCCATCTCGAACACACCCTTTTAGGGGCGTGGCAACCATATCAGAAAAAGGGGGGCGGGGTTTTCATTATGCCCACCCTGGAAATATTGTTCCCACATTCATAGAGAAATGGAACTTTTCACAGACATTGACATTCATGATAAGAACAATTCCAGATGTAGAGCCATCGCGAACACACCCATTTAGGGGCGTGGCAGCCATATTGAAAAAAGGGGGCGGGGTTCTCATTATGCCCAACATGGGAAAAATGTGCCCACATCTCATAAACGAATGAAGCTAACTTCCACAGACATTAATACTCACGAGATAAAAATCACACGTGGAGCCATCGTAAACACACCCTTTTAGGGGCGTGGCAGCCATAATAAAATGGGGGGGGGTAGTCATGATGCCCCTATAAAAGAAAGTTCTTATGTCGAGCCACAGCAAACTCATCCTTTTAGAGGTGTGAGGGGCCTACTCACTGTGCCCACAATTGCATTTTTATATTTTGTTGTTGATTTCTTATAATGTTGATTGGCCCATAGCCTATATTATTTGGTAATACAATGACTTACCCCAAAGAGCATGGGTAAGTACCGGTAGGCTAACCCGTGTTATATTGTTCAATGTGTGTACTTGCACCTATATCATCATGCACATCTAAATTCCAGAGTGATTTCATAATTACAAATACACAGCACACAATGGCAGCCCTAAACTCTAACATTTAACATTAAAGGGCAATGGAAATCCTTTTTTACGGGGGGGGGGGGGAGTGTAAAATCCCCCTACCTCTTACCTGTTGCGCCGCATTGACGGCAGATTGGGTAACAACACGATGTACTCGCCTCACAAAGTGGTGGACACGTCCACTATGACTTCACATTCAATGAATCTGTCTACCCCCACCACACAACACCTCTGTTCTCTTAAAAATGGTATATCAAGCTCTTATGAGTGTTTTTTTTTACCCCGACCAAATCCAGTAAAAAAAATTATACGTTATACAGGTGCGACACTGCATATGCCTTTTGGTCTGTCAGAAAAAAAGGCAGGGGAAACAATGTATTTGAAGAAGTAACACTAGTCTTTCCAGGACTAACTGAGGTACCCCAGTTTATACCCCTAATTCAGATATTGATGCAGTTGAAAGGTTATCAATAATTCTACAGACGAAAGAACCAGTAACTGGGTTAATATAGATGAGGCAAGAATGCATAGTGTAAGAAAACAACAGTAAATTCCAACTATAAAGGCGGCCCTACTCCAACACATTAAACAGCTATCTGAGGTGGATTTTATTATATGAAACGCGGTCAAAATTTTCCACGTTGTGCATATTGAGTACCCCCCCTTTTAAAAATGGATGCCGCACCTCTAAAAGGGTAGGTTTGTGATGGCCTCACATTAGAAAAAAAAGAAGATTTTTATGAATGTATTGTCCGAGTGGAATTTAATCCATTTATGAAAGGTAGGCACAACTTTCTTTTATAGGGGCATCATGACTACCCCCCCCCCGTTTTATTATGGCTGCCATGCCCCTAAAAGGGTGTGTCTACGATGGCTCCACGTGTGATTTTTATCTCGTGAGTATTAATGTCTGTGGAAATTAGCTTCATTCGTTTATGAGATGTGGGCACATTTTTCCCATGTTGGGCATAATGAGAACCCCGCCCCTGTTTTCAATATGGCTGCCACGCCCCTAAAAGGGTGTGTTCGCGATGGCTCTACATCTGGAATTGTTTTTATCATGAATGTCAATGTCTGTGAAAAGTTCCATTTCTCTATGAATGTGGGAACAATATTTCCAGGGTGGGCATAATGAAAACCCGCCCCCCCCCCTTTTTCTGATATGGTTGCCACGCCCCTAAAAGGGTGTGTTCGAGATGGCTCCACATCTGGAATTTGTTTTCACATGAATGTCAAAGTTTGTGGAAAGTTCCATTTCTCTATGAGTGTGGGAACAATATTTCCAGGGTGGGCATAATGAAAAATGTTAAAATTCAACACTTCAGTTTTTAGAGTGTAGGGAGATGGGGGTGGGTCATCAAAATTGATATATTACATCACAAACATCACAGCACAACTGTAGCTTGACTTTCTTTCGAGATTTGCCCTCTTTAGCTTGATCCGTGATTTTTTAGTCGTCACTAAGAATCAGCTCAATTCGTAACTGCCTGCGAGCGAGCACGTGCGTGTGTTTTGCACAGCTGTAGCTGTCAACCGCCATTATGAAGTTACCTTGCGCGGCCGGTGTAGCGTGAATATCCGACTCCATGAAATGTGGACTCATTGGTAGTACTGCGCACGCGTGAGTACGATACTACGCTATTTTTAGGATCGTTTCGGGAGAGTGACCTGTCACGTGCGAGGGATCAACCAATAATAGGGAAATAGGGGTCCGATTTTCATAGGAGTCGGATTTTCATGTGACACCGGCATGACAGAATGTACAGTCTTTTACCATGGGTTACAGAACCGGATTTTAGCAGCAGTATTTCCATTCTCCTTTTTCTTCTTCCCCCTTCCTTTCCCCTTCCTTCTCCATTCTTCATTTTCTTTATTGCCGACGGCACCATGATTTTGCCGACAAAACAGACTAATGGGGGTGTGACACCCCCCCCGTAGCGACGCCCGTGAGTAGGTGCTCTCAATCAATTTTAACAATAAAATGCTTACTTCTGTCTCCCAAAATTCGAAAAGGGGTTGGGGTCAGGGAGTCCTCAATGAAGGGGGGGGGGGGGGCTCCCCCATTACGCCACTTTAAAATGAAATTCGGCAGGCCAAAACTGGAATTGACTTTTCGGTATCTATTAGGGCAATCTCTTCTTGAAATTTGGAACAGTTCTGAGGGGAGTAACCACTCAGTATTTTAATGACAAAGATTACAACAGTATCGATGACCAATGACGCTCTTAAATTTACCATTTTATATTTTTTTTGAATTGAAAAGAAGCAAGGATCCTTGCCCAGACAAAGAGTAGGATTTCGCTCAGGTGTCGGAAATACATGCCTTTCAGTATATGGTCATGCATTTTGTTTTGTAATTAGTTAACATATTTCCCGAAGGTTGATTGTGGTTGAATGTTTGCGAGATAGCTGGAGTGCCAATTAACACATTGCCAGCAGAATATGCCTGTTAACTAAATGTCAGGGTCCTCGTCAATTCTTACTGGACTGTAAAACCGGGAAAACCGGGCCCACTTGAAACGTATGGCAGTAAAGGCAAAAAGTGCAAAAAAGAGCAAAATTAATAATCCTTTAAATTTGTGACCGATTCTTTAGATATTGTGTTTTTTTTGTTATTTCTCCAGTAGGTGTCGCCCAACTGTTCCGTCTATTTTTTTTACAAGTAAAGTAAAGGCAGTAGTTAGTGCCTCGTTCAACAATGCAGACCTGGAGGAGATATCAAGAATGGCGCATTTTCTTTCTGATCATCCTGGCGAATGGTGCACTGTGCGATGGTAAGTTCACGTTGATTTAATTCGTCAACGTCGTTTTTCTTCCTTTAGTAGAATATTTACCGAAGACCCACGATCAAGGCTCACCATCACCAACTTTGACCTCATTAATTGCAGCCTCAGGCCACGAAAAAAATTGGCGCGCCACTTTTGTCCGCTCCAGCGTCACTGATGCATCGTTTGTAGGTAGTCCAACATCTACGATGTTATCTCGGTTGGAGACTACTCGATCACGAATGTCTACAGGCCACCTTTCTATGTTACCTTACCCAGCCATTTATGTGGGCGACTTCGATAGCCACCACGCCATCTGGTGATACAATAGCAACGACAGGAAATCAAATGTGTCACGGAATAGTCCAACCACGCAGACACCCACCTACGGTGCTTGATATGAACAACACGGGTCTATCAGATCGGTTCGCTGGGTAACGCAGCACTCTCCAGACCTCTGTTGGGTCTCCTCGAAGGACGGATGTCTCCTTCCAGCCAAATGCCCTTCCTGGGTTTCCACGCGTCCAACACAGACCCATCGTACGTATGTGCAATCGACATCGGAATCTGACTGCCCATCATCAAATCCGTCCAGAAACCAAGATGGAACGTCCGAAAAGCCAACTGGACAAGCTTCACCAGTGACCTGGAGTGAAGCATTTTCTGCATCCCCCAGAACATTTTAATCAACAAAGCCTATGACCGCTTCACCCGGGCTATATCAAAAGCTGCGAAACGTCATATTCCCCACGGCTTCAGACCGACCTATACACCTGGCCTCAATATGATGAAGAATGCCGACAACATCTGACGGAGTACAGTACGTAGATACCGGAAACGCTGAGATCTCCGATAACTCATTCCGGCCCTCAATGATGCCAGACGTAGTCGCTGGGCATGGGAAGAAACAACAAGCAGTGTAGACTTCACACATTATACATCCGCAAAAGCTGTAAACTCGTATGCTAACTCGGTGTGGGACAACAGCCAATCCCAACCTCCAGCAGACCCAGCGTCCACCCAAGAAAGAAAGAAATCAAGAAACAGGTCCATCAAGCATGAAAAACAGCTTTAACTCGTATGACCTAGTCTCCCTCATCCTTCACACCACTCGAAGTCACTAGCGCAGTTAGGAATTTGGAAACAGGTAAGGCGCTGGATACGACCAGATGTATATAGGGCCTACCCAGAATTCATCAAGAATTTGGGACACCAAGCCATCAACTTGCTAACCAAATTCCTCACCCGGGTGATCTATGACAAATAGATTCCCAACACGTGGATAACAGCGAATGTCATTGCCATACCCAAGCCTGGGAAAGACCCAAAGCTAGCAGCCAGTTAATACAGACTGATCTAGCTCCTCTCCATCTGCTACAAGCTCCTTGAAACAGTGATCCTCAACCACATCGCTCCACTAATTCTTGTCGATGTTTTTTTCTCCCCTGATCGAGCAGGATTCAGGAGCGGCCACAGCACAGCAGATTAGGTGCTGGCACTTACTACATAATTTTATAAAGAGCGACTACCAACCAAAACTGAAAATGCGCACCAAAATGTCCGTCTCACTTGCTGTCTCCCTGGACATGTCAGATAATCGAAGTCCTCCATGCAAACAGGCGATTCGGGGTGCACATTGGCGATAAAAACCTGCTCATAAAGAAACCAGAACAACGGACTCCCATGTAAGGATCGATACAGTACTGATCGCCGAGCCTACTGTTCGACTCCTGACATGCATCTCCCAAGCAACTCTTGGACCAAGTTTAACCCGTTCCGCTCTGGCGCTGGACCCTGCATGTCTACCTTCCATAAGTGGAGCAGGAGTGTGTCCCCTCTTAGTACCGGCAGTACTGTGGAAACGATAGAAAATATCTGCAAAAGTGCCTTCTTCGGCGTTTCCAATGCAGCCTCTCGGCACCTCACCTTGCGGACGACCGGGCGGTGACGTGGCTTTGCGAGGCAGCCATCGGCGAATAATTTTCGGGGCAACAGCATTCTAGGAAAAAGACCAGTATTTAACTGATTGAGTTTGAAGGTTATAAACACAGAAGTTTGGCAACACTGCACGAAGAAAGTCGGAGAAACGTCGAAGCACTGTGCCCAGATGTATCGGATGAATCTATTTGCGGAATAGGCATAATTCGGATTCATGAATCACTTTGCAACTTTACATAAAAAAACCCACTGCGGTGAAATCTCCACCATCATGCAATGTGACCAATGGCCAGTCTTTCGAGCCTCAAGTTATATTCAAACTTATGATGAGCTAGCTACGAACCAGACATCAACTTTTCGCTCAGCAGCGTACAGTACATCACCGCCAGTCGCAGGCCGGATACCGCATGAGAATCACCTTGGATCCATGTTTAATCCAAAGACAATTTTTAATACTTCAGGCTTGTGCACTTTCTGAATCAATTAATTTCTTTTTTTCTGTCCCTAGAGCAAAACAACTGGCATTCCTGAAATTAAACTTATTGTTTGATTTACAAGAAAGCTATTATTTTTCTGATTTTTCGTTAACTGTTTTATTTTCTTCCGCAGTTCCATGTGGAAAAAGCAACATCACCCTCAGCAACTCAACGCAGACTTCAGAAACACTGACTTTGCCTTATTACCCAATCAACTATCCCGACACTGCCCGGTGCATTTGGTTCATCACAGTTGATGAAGGCTCCAAGATAGCCTTCCGTTTCTCCGTGTTCAATACGTTCCGAACACGGTACATGTTGACCATTGGCAACGGCCACGAGTCCTCCGATAGTGACTCTGTTATTGGTCGTTTTAGAGGTTTCCTGAAGAGTCTAGCCGTCGTTTCCAATAACCACACGGCATGGATGGAGCTTACCCACGTATTTGTTCTAACCATGATCGAATTCGAGGTAAAGATCACACAAGAAAGTTCTGAAGGTAAGTAGCAACTTAGATAATGGAATGTCTCCAGAAGTTGTTGTGTAGCTGATTTTACGGAAGAGTGCATACATGTAACTTATGTTGCTCGCCGCAGATTTACACAACTAATTAGACTTGCGTAATGTATAATAACTAATGATTTCATGAAAATTGGTATGCTGTTCAACGTTTTCAATATTTCAAACATCTTGGACAAGGATGATCACTGCTTTTAAGACATCAATCGCGAAACAGTTTTTGGATCAGCTATGCTTGCCTTTTTGGAAAAAAAAATTGTGTGCTTCTTCAGAAGCAGGCGGTCACACTCAAATTTCAGTCAAGGACAAAATAATACTTACTCATGTACATTCAAGACGTTACTTTTCTTATATGGACACATAAATAAGTTTGGCAGTGACCAATGAATTTAGACTATACAGACTGATAGGTGTTTTTAATTTTCCATATTCCAAAGTCATAATTTGTTGCGTAAATTGCAAACTTATGCAACGCGCACGTTACTATTATTATTGTTATTATTATTAATTATTCGGCCAACAAATGAACAAATTTACAATGACATATTTTGGATTCATGAGGCATCATTGCAACTGACTTAAACTCTGTCAAACTTAAAGGCATATGTGATCTTTTCAATTTATCCCAAAAGTAGCGTGCCGAACTATTATCAAGACGCTAACACTTGCTCGACATAGCCTATGTAATTCTTTTTTTATTCCCCTGCCATCTTTGAAACAGATGACATGAAGCGTTATTCAAGCATCACATTATTGTTATCATCACTTTAGTTTTAAAATAGCACATGTAAAATATGTTACCCTAGCTAAATCTAAGTTACCCTCTCTTTCAAAAATTAACACATTTTCCAATTCAAAAATCATTCTTTTTGTGAAATCTTAAGTAAGATTTGAGGCTTTGCATGGTGGAGATACTAAATAATGAAAGGTTTGCGGAAACACCATGTGCGAATAATTTCTCAACTAAGAGAATGGTTCTGAAAAGAACCAGAGGTATAAACTCGACGTTCCGGTCAGTATGCTCTGACCGTCATCACTCTCCTGAAGACGGTCAGAGCATACTGACCGGAACGTCGAGTTTATACCTCTGGTTCTTTTGAGAACCATTCTCTTAGTTGAGAAATTATTCGCACATGGTGTTTCCGCAAACCTTTCATTATTGTGAAATCTTGTTTTAATAAAAAACACTTCTGTGAATTCTCCACTTTCATGCAATGTGACCAATGGCCAATTTTTCATTCTTCAAATCATGTTCAATCTTTCGAGGTAGCTACGAACCAGCCATGCATCAACTTTTCGTGCAGCAGCGTACAGTACATCCCCGCCTAGCCGCAGGCCGGATACCGCATCAGAATCACCTTGGATCCATGTTTTCCAAAGACAGTGTTTTGTTCTTTGGGCTTGTGTACATTCTTATTAAATTTAGTCTTTTTCTGTCTTTTGAGCAAAACCACTGGCATTCCTGAAATTAAACTTATTGTTTGGTTTTACAAGAAACCTTGTATTTTTCTGATTTTTCGTTAACTGTTTTATTTTCTTCCGCAGTTCTATGTGGAAAAAGCAACATCACTCTCAGCAACTCAACACAGACTTCAGAAATACTGACTTCGCCTTATTACCCAAACAACTATCCTATCAATGCCCGGTGCATTTGGTTCATCACAGTTGATGAAGGCTCCACGATAGCCTTCCGTTTCTCCGTGTTCAATACGATTCGAACATACGACACGTTGACCATTGGCAACGGCCACGAGTCCTCCGATGGTGACTCTGTTATTGGTCGTTTTAGCAGTTTCCTGAAGAGTCTAGCCGTCGTTTCCAATAACCACACGGCATGGATGGAGTTTACCAGCACCAGCAATTTTTTTCGAACCGCGATCGGATTCAAGGTAAACATCACACAAGAAAGTTCTGAAGGTAAGTAGCAACTTAGATAATGGAATGTCTCCAGAAGTTGTTGTGTAGCTGATTTTACGGAAGAGTGCATACATGTAACTTATGTTGCTCGCCGCAGATTTACACAACTAATTAGACTTACGTAATGTATAATTACGAATGATTTCATGAAAATTGGTATGCTGTTCAACGTTTTCAATATTTCAAACATCTTGGACAAGGATGATCACTGCTTTTAAGACATCAATCGCGAAACAGTTTTTGGATCAGCTATGCTTGCCTTTTTGGAAAAAAAAATTGTGTGCTTCTTCAGAAGCAGGCGGTCACACTCAAATTTCCGTCAAGGACAAAATAATACTTACTCATGTACATTCAAGACGTTACTTTTCTTATACGGACACATTAATAAGTTTGGCAGTGACCAATGAATTAAGACTATACAGACTGATAGGCCTAAATAGGGGGTGTGTTTTTAATTGTCCATATTCCAAAGTCATAATTTGTTGCGTAAATTGCAAACTTATGCAACGCACACGTTATTATTATTATTGTTATTATTATTAGGCCTATTTATTCGGCCAACAAATGAACAAATTTACAATGACAAAGCAAACATTTATAATAAAGTAAACAAAAATTGGAAATTGAAAAAGTATGACCAGACGAGACTGAAGGGTGCGAGAAGGAATGGGTCGGGGGGGGGGGGGGAAGGGAGGGTGGACAGTTTGACAGGGGAGAGGAGATCGAGGGACAGAAAACAAAAACATTAAAACATTCCAAACCGGCCAGGGTAAACAAACTGTGTACTTAAACACTGTAGCCCTAAGGCCTGCCTGCCCATGCTTGAAATGTCTACACAAAAACTAAATAAAATCAATACAATATAAATATAAATATGTAAATGAAAAGTAAATGAACAAAAATAAAAACAGAGCAAAAATTTAGTTGGAACAAAATGGCCAGCAAATGTAATATAATCCTATATATCAACAACACAGACCAAACATCAAGGTGCAACGAAATTGAAATACATAGACTCAATGAAAGAAAGACATCACACGAATAACTGAGCATGTCAACAAACAAAGAAACAAAAATTAACATATGCAATGATACAAACTGCCCAACAAATAAACAGGAAATGAGCAAACAATCAATACCCCCAATAAAAACAAACAAACAAAAAACAAGCATACAAGTACCCCATCAGACAGACACCCCAATAACCCAAAATAACCCTAACAAGCAAACAAAAACACACACACACATCCCCACTGAACCCAACAAACAAACAAACAAACAAACAAACAAACAAACAAACAAACACCCCAACAACCCCGACATGCCAACAAAACATAACAAACAAACTAAAATTACAAAAAAAGACCCAACAAACAAACGTGTTTGCAAAATGTGACGTAATTGCAATGCACAATATTTTGCTTGATAAGTTGCTGTCATCGTGCAAAGTTTGGAGAATCGATTGCAAACGTTACATGTTATTTATTCTGCTCTTTGCTGCATGCAGGTTCTTGTGGACAGGATGAATTTGCATGCCAGGATGTATCCTCTGGCTTGATTTGTTTGGCACTTGACGACACCTGTGATGGTGATTACTATGCACATTGTCCAGATAGATCAGATGAATCTAACTGCCGTAAGTATATTTCGGATTCATGAAGCATCATTGCAACTGACTTAAACTCTGTTAAACTTAAAGGCATGCGTGATTTTTTTCAATTTATCCCAAACGTAGCATGCCGAGCTGTCATCAAGAAGCTGACACTTGCTCCACATATGTAATTTTTTTCTCTCCCACATCTTTGAAACAGATGACATTAAGCGTTATTCAAGCATCACATTATTGTTATCATCACTTTTGATTTAAAGTAGCACATGTTAAATATATTGGCCAAGCTAAATCTAAGTTACCCTCTCTTTCGAAATTTAACACATTTTCTATTTCAAGAATCATTCCTTTTGTGAAATCTTGTATTAGACAAAAATCATTCCTTTTGTGAAATCTTGTTTGAATAAAAACACTTCGGTGAATTCTCCACTTTCATGTAATGTGACCAATGGCCATTTTTTTTCATTCTTCAAATCACGTTCAAACTTACGAGGTAGCTACGAACCAGACATGCATCAATTTTCCGTTCAGCAGCGTACAGTACATCCCCGCCTAGTCGCAGGCCGGATACCGCATCGGAATAACGTTGGATCCATGTTATCCAAAGACAATATTTTATAATTCAGGCTTGTGTACATTCTGATTAAATTTAGGTTTTTTTTCTGTCCCTTGAGCAAAACCACTGGCATTCCTGAAATTAAACATTGTTTTGGTTTTACCAGAAATGTAGTATTTTTCTGATTTTTCATTAACTGTTTTATTTTCTTCTGCAGCTCCATGCGGAAAAAGCAACATCACTCTCAGCAACTCAACACAGACTTCAGAAACACTGACTTCGCCTCATTACCTAAACAACTTCCCCATCAATGCCTGGTGCATTTGGTACATCACAGTTGATGAAGGCTCCACGATAGCCTTCCGTTTCTCCGTGTTCAATACGCAGCGAGGACGGGACACGTTGACCATTGGCAACGGCCACGAGTCCTCCGATAGTGACTCTGCTATTGGTCGTTTTAGTGGTTTCCTGACGAGTCTAGCCGTCGTTTCCAATAACCACACGGCATGGATGAAGTTTACCCGCGCTTTTGTTCGAAAAAAGATCGAATTCGAGGTAAAGATCACACAAGAAAGTTCTGAAGGTAAGTAGCAACTTAGATAATGGAATGTCTCCAGAAGTTGTTGTGCAGCTGATTTTACGGAACAGTGCATACATGTAACTTATGTCGCTCGACGCAGATTTACACATCTAATTAGATTTGCATAATATATCATTACGAATGATTTCATGAAAATTGGTATGCTGTTCAACGTTTTCAATATTTCAAACATCTTGGACAAGGATGATCACTGCTTTTAAGACATCAATCGCGAAACAGTTTTTGGATCAGCTATGCTTGTCTTTTTGGGAAAAAAAATTGTGTGCTTCTTCAGAAGCAGGCGGTCACACTCAAATTTCCGTCAAGGACAAAATAATACTTACTCATGTACATTCAAGACGTTACTTTTCTTATACGGACACATTAATAAGTTTGGCAGTGACCAATGAATTTAGACTATACAGACTGATAGGCCTAAATAGGGGGGGTGTTTTTAATTGTCCATATTCCAAAGTCATAATTTGTTGCGTAAATTGCAAACTTATGCAACGCACACGTTATTATTATTATTGTTATTATTATTATTTATTCGGCCAACAAATGAACAAATTTACAATGACATATTTCGGATTCATGAGGCATCATTGCAACTGACTTAAACTCTGTCAAACTTAAAGGCATATGTGATCTTTTCAATTTATCCCAAAAGTAACATGCCGAACTATTATCAAGAAGCTAACACTTGCTCGACATAGCCTATGTAATTCTTTTTTTATTCCCCTGCCATCTTTGAAACAGATGACATGAAGCGTTATTCAAGCATCACATTATTGTTATCATCACTTTAGTTTTAAAATAGCACATGTAAAATATGTTACCCTAGCTAAATCTAAGTTACCCTCTCTTTCAAAAATTAACACATTTTCCAATTCAAAAATCATTCTTTTTGTGAAATCTTAAGTAAGATTTGAGGCTTTGCATGGTGGAGATACTAAATAATGAAAGGTTTGCGGAAACACCATGTGCGAATAATTTCTCAACTAAGAGAATGGTTCTGAAAAGAACCAGAGGTATAAACTCGACGTTCCGGTCAGTATGCTCTGACCGTCATCACTCTCCTGAAGACGGTCAGAGCATACTGACCGGAACGTCGAGTTTATACCTCTGGTTCTTTTGAGAACCATTCTCTTAGTTGAGAAATTATTCGCACATGGTGTTTCCGCAAACCTTTCATTATTGTGAAATCTTGTTTTAATAAAAACACTTCGGTGAATTCTCCACTTCCATGCAATGTGACCAATGGCCAATTTTTCATTCTTCAAATCATGTTCAATCTTTCGAGTTAGCTACGAACCAGCCATGCATCAACTTTTCGTGCAGCAGCGTACAGTACATCCCCGCCTAGCCGCAGGCCGGATACCGCATCAGAATCACCTTGGATCCATGTTTTCCAAAGACAATGTTTTGTTCTTTGGGCTTGTGTACATTCTTATTAAATTTAGTCTTTTTCTGTCTTTTGAGCAAAACCACTGGCATTCCTGAAATTAAACTTATTGTTTGGTTTTACAAGAAACCTTGTATTTTTCTGATTTTTCGTTAACTGTTTTATTTTCTTCCGCAGTTCTATGTGGAAAAAGCAACATCACTCTCAGCAACTCAACTTCAGAAACACTGACTTCGCCTTATTACCCAAACAACTATCCCATCAATGCCCGGTGCATTTGGTACATCACAGTTGATGAAGGCTCCAAGATAGCCTTCCGTTTCTCCGAGTTCAATACGTTCCGAACAAGGGACACGTTGACCATTGGCAACGGCCACGAGTCCTCCGATAGTGACTCTGTTATTGGTCTTTTTAGCGGTTCCCTGACGAGTCTAGCCGTCGTTTCCAATAACCACACGGCATGGATGGAGTTTACTAGCGATTTTTTGGTAACCAAGATCGGATTCCAGGTAGCGATTACTCAAGAAAGCTATGAAGGTAAGTAGCAACTTGAAAAGATAATGGAATGTCTCCTGAAGTTGTTGTACAGCTGATTTTACGGAACAGTGCATACATGTAACTTATGTCGCTCACCGCAGATTTACACAACTAATTAGACTTGCGTAATATATAATTACGAATGATTTCATGAAAATTGGTATGCTGTTCAACGTTTTCAATATTTCAAACATCTTGGACAAGGATGATCACTGCTTTTAAGACATCAATCGCGAAACAGTTTTTGGATCAGCTATGCTTGCCTTTTGGAAAAAAAAATTGTGTGCTTCTTCAGAAGCAGGCGGTCACACTCACATTTCTGTCAAGGACAAAATAATACTTACTCATGTACATTCAAGACGTTACTTTTCTTATACGGACACATTAATAAGTTTGGCAGTGACCAATGAATTTAGACTATACAGACTGATAGGCCTAAATAGGGGTTGTGTTTTTAATTGTCCATATTCCAAAGTCATAATTTGTTGCGTAAATTGCAAACTTATGCAACGCACACGTTATTATTATTATTGTTATTATTATTATTATTGTTATTATTTATTCGGCCAACAAATGAACAAATTTACAATGGCAAAGCAAACATTTATAATAAAGTAAACAAAAATTGGAAATTGAAAAAGTATGAACAGACGAGACTGAAGAGTGCAAGAAGGAATGGGTCGGGGGGGGGGGGAAAGGGAAGGGAGGGTGGACAGTTTGACAGGGGAGAGGAGATCGAGGGACAGAAAACAAAAACATTAAAACATTCCAAACCGGCCAGGGTAAACAAACTGTGTACTTAAACACTGTAGCCCTAAGGTCTGCCTACCCATGCTCGAAATGTCTACACAAAAAGTAAATAAAATCTATATACAATATCAATATAAATATGCAAATGAAAAGTAAATGAACAAAAATAAAAACAGAGCAAAAATTTTGTTGGAACAAAAAGGTAAGCAAATGTAATATAATCCTATATATCAACAAAACAGACCAAACATCAAGGTGCAACGAAAGTGAAATAAATAGACTCAATGAAAGAAAGACATCACACGAGTAACTGAGCATGTCAACAAACAAAGAAACAAAAATTAACAAATGCAATGATACAAACTGCCCAACAAATAAACAGGAAATGAGCAAACAAACAATATCCCAAATAAAAAACCAAACAAAAACCAAGCAAACAAGTACCCCATCAGACAGACACCCCAATAACCCCAAATAACCCTAACAAGCAAACAAAAAAACACACACACATCCCCACAACCCAACAAACAAACAAACACCCCAACAACCCCTACATGCCAACAAAACATAACAAACAAACTATCATTACAAAAAAATACCCAACAGACAAACGTGTTTGCAAAATGTGACGTAATTGCAATGCACAATATTTTGCTTGATAAGTTGCTGTCATCGTGCAAAGTTTAGAGAATCGATTGCAAACGTTACCTGATATTTATTCTGCTCTTTGCTGCATGCAGGTTCTTGTGGACAGGATGAATTTGCATGCCAGGATGTATCCTCTGGCTTGATTTGTTTGGCACGTGACGACACCTGTGATGGTGATGGCTTTACACTGTGCCCAGATGGATCAGATGAATCTAACTGCCGTAAGTATATTTCGGATTCATGAAGCATCATTGCAACTGACTTAAACTCTGTTAAACTGAACGGCATGCGTGATTTTTTTCAATTTATCCCAAACGTAGCCTGCCGAGCTGTCATCAAGAAGCTAACACTTGCTCCACATATGTAATTTTTTTCTCTCCCACATCTTTGAAACAGATGACATTAAGCGTTATTCAAGCATCACATTATTGTTATCATCACTTTAGTTTTAAAGTAGCACATGTTAAATATGTTACCCTAGCTAAATCTAAGTTACCCTCTCTTTCGAAATTTAACACATTTTCTATTTCAAGAATCATTCCTTTTGTGAAATCTTGTTTTAAACAAGAATCATTCTTTTTGTGAAATCTTGTTTTAATAAAAACACTTCGGTAAATTCTCCACTTTCATGCAATGTGACCAATGGCATTTTCTTTTTCATTCTACCAATCACGTTCAAACTTACGAGGTAGCTACGAACCAGACATGCATCAATTTTCCGTTCAGCAGCGTACAGTACATCACCGCCTAGTCGCAGGCCGGATACCGCATCGGAATAACGTTGGATCCATGTTATCCAAAGACAATATTTTATAATTCAGGCTTGTGTACATTCTGATTAAATTTAGTTTTTTTTTCTGTCCCTTGAGCAAAACCACTGGCATTCCTGAAATTAAACATTGTTTTGGTTTTACAAGAAATCTAGTATTTTTCTGATTTTTCATTAACTGTTTTATTTTCTTCTGCAGCTCCATGCGGAAAAAGCAACATCACTCTCAGCAACTCAAGACAGACTTCAGAAACACTGACTTCGCCTCATTACCTAAACAACTTTCCCATCAATGCCTGGTGCATTTGGTACATCACAGTTGATGAAGGCTCCACGATAGCCTTCCGTTTCTCCGTGTTCAATACGATTCGAACATACGACACGTTGACCATTGGCAACGGCCACGAGTCCTCCGATAGTGACTCTGTTATTGGTCTTTTTAGCGGTTTCGTGAAGAGGCTAGCCGTCGTTTCCAATAACCACACGGCATGGATGAAGTTTACCCGCGCTTTTCTTCTACCCACGTTCGAATTCGAGGTAAAGATCACACAAGAAAGTTCTGAAGGTAAGTAGCAACTTACATAATGGAATGTCTCCAGAAGTTGGTGTGCAGCTGATTTTACGGAACAGTGCATACATGTAACTTATGTCGCTCGCCGCAGATTTACACAACTAATTAGACTTACGTAATATATAATTACGAATGATTTCATGAAAATTGGTATGCTGTTCAACGTTTTCAATATTTCAAACATCTTGGACAAGGATGATCACTGCTTTTAAGACATCAATCGCGAAACAGTTTTTGGATCAGCTATGCTTGCCTTTTTGGAAAAAAAAATTGTGTGCTTCTTCAGAAGCAGGCGGTCACACTCACATTTCTGTCAAGGACAAAATAATACTTACTCATGTACATTCAAGACGTTACTTTTCTTATACGGACACATTAATAAGTTTGGCAGTGACCAATGAATTTAGACTATACAGACTGATAGGCCTAAATAGGGGTTGTGTTTTTAATTGTCCATATTCCAAAGTCATAATTTGTTGCGTAAATTGCAAACTTATGCAACGCACACGTTATTATTATTATTGTTATTATTATTATTATTGTTATTATTTATTCGGCCAACAAATGAACAAATTTACAATGGCAAAGCAAACATTTATAATAAAGTAAACAAAAATTGGAAATTGAAAAAGTATGAACAGACGAGACTGAAGAGTGCAAGAAGGAATGGGTCGGGGGGGGGGGAAAGGGAAGGGAGGGTGGACAGTTTGACAGGGGAGAGGAGATCGAGGGACAGAAAACAAAAACATTAAAACATTCCAAACCGGCCAGGGTAAACAAACTGTGTACTTAAACACTGTAGCCCTAAGGTCTGCCTACCCATGCTCGAAATGTCTACACAAAAAGTAAATAAAATCTATATACAATATCAATATAAATATGCAAATGAAAAGTAAATGAACAAAAATAAAAACAGAGCAAAAATTTTGTTGGAACAAAAAGGTAAGCAAATGTAATATAATCCTATATATCAACAAAACAGACCAAACATCAAGGTGCAACGAAAGTGAAATAAATAGACTCAATGAAAGAAAGACATCACACGAGTAACTGAGCATGTCAACAAACAAAGAAACAAAAATTAACAAATGCAATGATACAAACTGCCCAACAAATAAACAGGAAATGAGCAAACAAACAATATCCCAAATAAAAAACCAAACAAAAACCAAGCAAACAAGTACCCCATCAGACAGACACCCCAATAACCCCAAATAACCCTAACAAGCAAACAAAAAAACACACACACATCCCCACAACCAACAAACAAACAAACACCCCAACAACCCCTACATGCCAACAAAACATAACAAACAAACTATCATTACAAAAAAATACCCAACAAACAAACGTGTTTGCAAAATGTGACGTAATTGCAATGCACAATATTTTGCTTGATAAGTTGCTGTCATCGTGCAAAGTTTAGAGAATCGATTGCAAACGTTACCTGATATTTATTCTGCTCTTTGCTGCATGCAGGTTCTTGTGGACAGGATGAATTTGCATGCCAGGATGTATCCTCTGGCTTGATTTGTTTGGCACGTGACGACACCTGTGATGGTGATGGCTTTACACTGTGCCCAGATGGATCAGATGAATCTAACTGCCGTAAGTATATTTCGGATTCATGAAGCATCATTGCAACTGACTTAAACTCTGTTAAACTGAACGGCATGCGTGATTTTTTTCAATTTATCCCAAACGTAGCCTGCCGAGCTGTCATCAAGAAGCTAACACTTGCTCCACATATGTAATTTTTTTCTCTCCCACATCTTTGAAACAGATGACATTAAGCGTTATTCAAGCATCACATTATTGTTATCATCACTTTAGTTTTAAAGTAGCACATGTTAAATATGTTACCCTAGCTAAATCTAAGTTACCCTCTCTTTCGAAATTTAACACATTTTCTATTTCAAGAATCATTCCTTTTGTGAAATCTTGTTTTAAACAAGAATCATTCTTTTTGTGAAATCTTGTTTTAATAAAAACACTTCGGTAAATTCTCCACTTTCATGCAATGTGACCAATGGCATTTTCTTTTTCATTCTACCAATCACGTTCAAACTTACGAGGTAGCTACGAACCAGACATGCATCAATTTTCCGTTCAGCAGCGTACAGTACATCACCGCCTAGTCGCAGGCCGGATACCGCATCGGAATAACGTTGGATCCATGTTATCCAAAGACAATATTTTATAATTCAGGCTTGTGTACATTCTGATTAAATTTAGTTTTTTTTCTGTCCCTTGAGCAAAACCACTGGCATTCCTGAAATTAAACATTGTTTTGGTTTTACCAGAAATGTAGTATTTTTCTGATTTTTCATTAACTGTTTTATTTTCTTCTGCAGTTGCATGCGGAAAAAGCAACATCACTCTCAGCAACTCAAGACAGACTTCAGAAACACTGACTTTGCCTCAATACCTAAACAACTATCCCAACGATGCCCGGTGCATTTGGTTCATCACAGTTGATGAAGGCTCCAAGATAGCCTTCCGTTTCTCCGTGTTCAAAATTGTGCGAACATACATCACGTTGACCATTGGCAACGGCCACGAGTCCTCCGATAGTGACTCTATTATTGTTCGTTTTAGAGGTTTCCTGAAGAGTCTAGCCGTCGTTTCCAATAACCACACGGCATGGATGGAGCTTACCAGCGTTTTTGTTCTAACCACGATCGAATTCGAGGTAAAGATCACACAAGAAAGTTCTGAAGGTAAGTAGCAACTTAGATAATGGAATGTCTCCAAAAGTTGTTGTGCTGCTGATTTTACGGAACAGTGCATACATGTAACTTATTTCGCTCGACGCAGATTTACACAACTAATTAGATTTGCAGAATATATCATTACGAATGATTTCATGAAAATTGGTATGCTGTTCAACGTTTTCAATATTTCAAACATCTTGGACAAGGATGATCACTGCTTTTAAGACATCAATCGCGAAACAGTTTTTGGATCAGCTATGCTTGCCTTTTTGGAAAAAAAAAATTGTGTGCTTCTTCAGAAGCAGGCGGTCACACTCAAATTTCCGTCAAGGACAAAATAATACTTACTCATGTACATTCAAGAGGTTACTTCTCTTATACGGACACATAAATAAGTTTGGCAGTGACCAATGAATTTAGACTATACAGACTGATAGGCCTAAATAGGGGTGTGTTTTTAATTGTCCATATTCCAAAGTCATAATTTGTTGCGTAAATTGCAAACTTATGCAACGCACACGTTATTATTATTATTGTTATTATTATTATTTATTCGGCCAACAAATGAACAAATTTACAATGACATATTTCGGATTCATGAGGCATCATTGCAACTGACTTAAACTCTGTCAAACTTAAAGGCATATGTGATCTTTTCAATTTATCCCAAAAGTAGCGTGCCGAACTATTATCAAGACGCTAACACTTGCTCGACATAGCCTATGTAATTCTGTTTTTATTCCCCTGCCATCTTTGAAACAGATGACATGAAGCGTTATTCAAGCATCACATTATTGTTATCATCACTTTAGTTTTAAAATAGCACATGTAAAATATGTTACCCTAGCTAAATCTAAGTTACCCTCTCTTTCAAAAATTAACACATTTTCCAATTCAAAAATCATTCTTTTTGTGAAATCTTAAGTAAGATTTGAGGCTTTGCATGGTGGAGATACTAAATAATGAAAGGTTTGCGGAAACACCATGTGCGAATAATTTCTCAACTAAGAGAATGGTTCTGAAAAGAACCAGAGGTATAAACTCGACGTTCCGGTCAGTATGCTCTGACCGTCATCACTCTCCTGAAGACGGTCAGAGCATACTGACCGGAACGTCGAGTTTATACCTCTGCTTCTTTTGAGAACCATTCTCTTAGTTGAGAAATTATTCGCACATGGTGTTTCCGCAAACCTTTCATTATTGTGAAATCTTGTTTTAATAAAAACACTTCGGTGAATTCTCCACTTTCATGCAATGTGACCAATGGCCAATTTTTCATTCTTCAAATCATGTTCAATCGTTCGAGGTAGCTACGAACCAGCCATGCATCAACTTTTCGTGCAGCAGCGTACAGTACATCCCCGCCTAGCCGCAGGCCGGATACCGCATCAGAATCACCTTGGATCCATGTTTTCCAAAGACAATGTTTTGTTCTTTGGGCTTGTGTACATTCTTATTAAATTTAGTCTTTTTCTGTCTTTTGAGCAAAACCACTGGCATTCCTGAAATTAAACTTATTGTTTGGTTTTACAAGAAACCTTGTATTTTTCTGATTTTTCGTTAACTGTTTTATTTTCTTCCGCAGTTCTATGTGGAAAAAGCAACATCACTCTCAGCAACTCAACACAGACTTCAGAAACACTGACTTCGCCTTATTACCCAAACAACTTCCCCATCAATGCCTGGTGCATTTGGTACATCACAGTTGATGAAGGCTCCAAGATAGCCTTCCGTTTCTCCGTGTTCAATACGATTCGAACATACGACACGTTGACCATTGGCAACGGCCACGAGTCCTCCGATAGTGACTCTGTTATTGGTCTTTTAAGCGGTTCCCTGACGAGTCTAGCCGTCATTTCCAATACCCACACGGCATGGATGAAGTTTACCAGCGATTCTTCGGTAACCAAGATCGGATTCGAGGTAAAGATCACTCAAGAAAGCTATGAAGGTAAGTAGCAACTTGAAAAGATAATGAAATGTCTCCTGAAGTTGTTGTGTAGCTGATTTTACGGAAGAGTGCATTCATGTAACTTATTTCGCTCGACGCAGATTTACACAACTAATTAGATTTGCAGAATATATCATTACGAATGATTTCATGAAAATTGGTATGCTGTTCAACGTTTTCAATATTTCAAACATCTTGGACAAGGATGATCACTGCTTTTAAGACATCAATCGCGAAACAGTTTTTGGATCAGCTATGCTTGCCTTTTTGGAAAAAAAAAATTGTGTGCTTCTTCAGAAGCAGGCGGTCACACTCACATTTCTGTCAAGGACAAAATAATACTTACTCATGTACATTCAAGAGGTTACTTCTCTTATACGGACACATAAATAAGTTTGGCAGTGACCAATGAATTTAGACTATACAGACTGATAGGCCTAAATAGGGGTGTGTTTTTAATTGTCCATATTCCAAAGTCATAATTTGTTGCGTAAATTGCAAACTTATGCAACGCACACGTTATTATTATTATTGTTATTATTATTATTTATTCGGCCAACAAATGAACAAATTTACAATGACATATTTCGGATTCATGAGGCATCATTGCAACTGACTTAGACTCTGTCAAACTTAAAGGCATATGTGATCTTTTCAATTTATCCCAAAAGTAGCGTGCCGAACTATTATCAAGACGCTAACACTTGCTCGACATAGCCTATGTAATTCTGTTTTTATTCCCCTGCCATCTTTGAAACAGATGACATGAAGCGTTATTCAAGCATCACATTATTGTTATCATCACTTTAGTTTTAAAATAGCACATGTAAAATATGTTACCCTAGCTAAATCTAAGTTACCCTCTCTTTCAAAAATTAACACATTTTCCAATTCAAAAATCATTCTTTTTGTGAAATCTTAAGTAAGATTTGAGGCTTTGCATGGTGGAGATACTAAATAATGAAAGGTTTGCGGAAACACCATGTGCGAATAATTTCTCAACTAAGAGAATGGTTCTGAAAAGAACCAGAGGTATAAACTCGACGTTCCGGTCAGTATGCTCTGACCGTCATCACTCTCCTGAAGACGGTCAGAGCATACTGACCGGAACGTCGAGTTTATACCTCTGCTTCTTTTGAGAACCATTCTCTTAGTTGAGAAATTATTCGCACATGGTGTTTCCGCAAACCTTTCATTATTGTGAAATCTTGTTTTAATAAAAACACTTCGGTGAATTCTCCACTTTCATGCAATGTGACCAATGGCCAAGTTTTCATTCTTCAAATCATGTTCAATCTTTCGAGGTAGCTACGAACCAGCCATGCATCAACTTTTCGTGCAGCAGCGTACAGTACATCCCCGCCTAGCCGCAGGCCGGATACCGCATCAGAATCACCTTGGATCCATGTTTTCCAAAGACAATGTTTTGTTCTTTGGGCTTGTGTACATTCTTATTAAATTTAGTCTTTTTCTGTCTTTTGAGCAAAACCACTGGCATTCCTAAAATTAAACTTATTGTTTGGTTTTACAAGAAACCTTGTATTTTTCTGATTTTTCGTTAACTGTTTTATTTTCTTCCGCAGTTCTATGTGGAAAAAGCAACATCACTCTCAGCAACTCAACACAGACTTCAGAAACACTGACTTCGCCTTATTACCCAAACAACTATCCCATCAATGCCCGGTGCATTTGGTTCATCACAGTTGATGAAGGCTCCACGATAGCCTTCCGTTTCTCCGTGTTCAATACGAATCGAAAATACGACACGTTGACCATTGGCAACGGCCACGAGTCCTCCGATTGTGACTCTGTTATTGGTCGGTTTAGCAGTTTCCTGAAGAGTCTAGCCGTCGTTTCCAATAACCACACGGCATGGATGGAGTTTACCAGCAATTTTTCTCGAACCGCGATCGGATTCAAGGTAAAGATCACACAAGAAAGTTCTGAAGGTAAGTAGCAACTTAGATAATGGAATGTCTCCAGAAGTTGTTGTGCAGCTGATTTTACGGAAGAGTGCATTCATGTAACTTATGTCGCTCGACGCAGATTTACACAACTAATTAGATTTGCATAATATATCATTACGAATGATTTCATGAAAATTGGTATGCTGTTCAACGTTTTCAATATTGCAAACATCTTGGACAAGGATGATCACTGCTTTTAAGACATCAATCGCGAAACAGTTTTTGGATCAGCTATGCTTGCCTTTTTGGAAAAAAAAAATTGTGTGCTTCTTCAGAAGCAGGCGGTCACACTCACATTTCTGTCAAGGACAAAATAATACTTACTCATGTACATTCAAGACGTTACTTTTCTTATACGGACACATTAATAAGTTTGGCAGTGACCAATGAATTTAGACTATACAGACTGATAGGCCTAAATAGGGGTTGTGTTTTTAATTGTCCATATTCCAAAGTCATACTTTGTTGCGTAAATTGCAAACTTATGCAACGCACACGTTATTATTGTTATTGTTATTATTATTATTTATTCGGCCAACAAATGAACAAATTTACAATGACAAAGCAAACATTTATAATAAAGTAAACAAAAATTGGAAATTGAAAAAGTATGAACAGACGAGACTGAAGAGTGCGAGAAGGAATGGGTCGGGGGGGGGAGGGAGGGTGGACAGTTTGACAGGGGAGAGGAGATCGAGGGACAGAAAACAAAAACATTAAAACATTCCAAACCGGCCAGGGTAAACAAACTGTGTACTTAAACACTGTAGCCCTAAGGCCTGCCTACCCATGCTCGAAATGTCTACACAAAAACTAAATAAAATCTATACAATATAAATATAAATATGTAAATGAAAAGTAAATGAACAAAAATAAAAACAGAGCAAAAATTTAGTTGGAACAAAATGGCAAGCAAATGTAATATAATCCTATATATCAACAACACAGACCAAACATCAAGGTGCAACAAAATTGAAATACATAGACTCAATGAAAGAAAGACATCACACGAATAACTGAGCATGTCAACAAACAAAGAAACAAAAATTAACATATGCAATGATACAAACTGCCCAACAAATAAACAGGACATGAGCAAACAAACAATACCCCCAATAAAAACAAACAAACAAAAAACAAGCATACAAGTACCCCATCAGACAGACACCCCAATAACCCCAAATAACCCCAACAAGCAAACAAAAAACACACACACATCCCCACTGAACCCAACAAACAAACAAACGCCCCAACAACCCCGACATGCCAACAAAACATAACAAACAAACTATAATTCCAAAAAATGACCCAACAAACAAATGTGTTTGCAAAATGTGACGGGCGTAATTGCAATGCACAATTTTTTGCTTGATAAGTTGCTGTCATCGTGCAAAGTTTGGAGAATCGATTGCAAACGTTACCTGTTATTTATTCTGCTCTTTGCTGCATGCAGGTTCTAAGCCGTTAATTTTCTCACGTCACATTAACAAGTTGGCAGAAACCAAAGCATTTATACTCTATACAGACTAATAGGCATAATTAGATTGTTTTTTTTTAATTGTACATATTCCAAAGTCATAATTTGTTGCACAAATTGCAAACTTATGCAACGCACACGAATTTGCCAAATGTGACATAAATGAAATGCACAATATTTTGCTTGATAAGTCACTGTTCACTGTGCCAAGTTTGGAGAATCGATTGCTGAACGTTACCTGTTATTTATTTTGCTCTTTGCGCATGCAGGTTCTTGTGGACAGGATGAATTTGCATGCCAGAATGTATCCTCTGGCTTGATTTGTTTGGCGCGTGACGACACCTGTGATGGTGATGGTTTTACACTGTGCCCAGATGGATCAGATGAATCGAACTGCCGTAAGCATATTTCGGATTCATGAGGCATCATTGCAACTGACTTAAACTCTGTCAAACTTTTTTTATTCCCCTGCCATCTTTGAAACAGATGACATGAAGCGTTATTCAAGCATCACATTATTGTTATCATCACTTTCGTTTTAAAATAGCACATGTAAAATATGTTACCCTAGCTAAATCTAAGTTACCCTCTCTTTCAAAAATTAACACATTTTCCAATTCAAAAATCATTCTTTTTGTGAAATCTTAAGTAAGATTTGAGGCTTTGCATGGTGGAGATACTAAATAATGAAAGGTTTGCGAAAACACCATGTGCGAATAATTTCTCAACTAAGAGAATGGTTCTGAAAAGAACCAGAGGTATAAACTCGACGTTCCGGTCAGTATGCTCTGACCGTCATCACTCTCCTGAAGACGGTCAGAGCATACTGACCGGAACGTCGAGTTTATACCTCTGCTTCTTTTGAGAACCATTCTCTTAGTTGAGAAATTATTCGCACATGGTGTTTCCGCAAACCTTTCATTATTGTGAAATCTTGTTTTAATAAAAACACTTCGGTGAATTCTCCACTTTCATGCAATGTGACCAATGGCCAAGTTTTCATTCTTCAAATCATGTTCAATCTTTCGAGGTAGCTACGAACCAGCCATGCATCAACTTTTCGTGCAGCAGCGTACAGTACATCCCCGCCTAGCCGCAGGCCGGATACCGCATCAGAGTCACCTTGGATCCATGTTTTCCAAAGACAATGTTTTGTTCTTTGGGCTTGTGTACATTCTTATTAAATTTAGTCTTTTTCTGTCTTTTGAGCAAAACCACTGGCATTCCTGAAATTAAACTTATTGTTTGGTTTTACAAGAAACCTTGTATTTTTCTGATTTTTTGTTAACTGTTTTATTTTCTTCCGCAGTTCCATGCGGAAAAAGCAACATCACTCTCGGCAACTCAACACAGACTTCAGAAATACTGACTTCGCCTTATTACCCAAACAACTATCCCACCAATGCCCGGTGCATTTGGTTCATCACAGTCGATGAAGGCTCCACGATAACCTTCCGTTTCTTCTTGTTCAATACGGAGCGAACATGGGACAAATTGACCATTGGCAACGGCCACGAGTCCTCCGATGGTGACTCCGTTATTGGTCTTTTTAGCGGTTCCCTGATGAGTCTAACCGCCGTTTCCAATAACCAAACGGCATGGATGGAGTTTACCAGCAATTCTTTGGTAACCAAGATAGGATTCGTGGTAAAGATCACTCAAGAAAGCTATGAAGGTAAGTAGCAACTTGAAAAGATAATGGAATGTCTCCTGAAGTTGTTGTGCAGCTGATTTTACGGAACAGTGCATACATGTAACTTATGTCACTCACCGCAGATTTACACAACTAATTACATTTGCGCAATAAATAATTACGAATGATTTCATGAAAATTGGTATAAATATGCTAGTATTCAACATTTCAATAATAATTTCAAACATCTTGGACATGGATGATCGTTGCTTTTAAGATATGGGCCACAAAACAGTTTATACTTCGAGACTTCACAAAATACTTCGAGATTGTGCTAATTTTGAATTAATTAATTTATTCTTTTTCTGTCCCTAGAGCAAAACCACTGGCATTCCTGATATTAAAGTGATGGCTTGGTTTTACAAGAAACGTTATACATGTAGTAGAGTCATTTTCCTGAAATCTGTGACCATGTTGCGGATACCTTTTTTTCTTGATGGATTTGACAAATTGGACCAATTCAAAGGGGAAAAAAGCTCCTATACACCTCTTAAATGTGACGACAAACTTTTTATAGCATTTTTTTTTCAAAATGGCCGCTGACGCCATATTGAAATACATAACAAATGATATCTCGGGAACCAGATAAGCCATAACGATAAATGAAGTGTCGATTCCTACTATTTCTGGCATGACAAATCTGCTACGAGGTAGCTACGAACCAGCCATGCATCAACTTTTCGTGCAGCAGCGTACAGTACATCCCCGCCTAGCCGCAGGCCGGATACCGCATCAGAATCACCTTGGATCCATGTTTTCCAAAGACAATGTTTTGTTCTTTGGGCTTGTGTACATTCTTATTAAATTTAGTCTTTTTCTGTCTTTTGAGCAAAACCACTGGCATTCCTGAAATTAAACTTATTGTTTGGTTTTACAAGAAACCTTGTATTTTTCTGATTTTTCGTTAACTGTTTTATTTTCTTCCGCAGTTCTATGTGGAAAAAGCAACATCACTCTCAGCAACTCAGCACAGACTTCAGAAACACTGACTTCGCCTTATTTCCCAAACAACTATCCCATCAATGCCCGGTGCATTTGGTTCATCACAGTTGATGAAGGCTCCACGATAGCCTTCCGTTTCTCCATCTTCTATACGGAGAAAACACACGACACGTTGACCATTGGCAACGGCCACGAGTCCCCCGATAGTGACTCTGTTATTGGTCTTTTTAGCGGTCCCCTGATGAGTCTAACCGCCGTTTCCAATAACCACACGGCATGGATGGAGTTTACCAGCAATTCTTTGGTAACCAAGATAGGATTCGTGGTAGAAATCACTCAAGAAAGCTATGAAGGTAAGTAGCAACTTGAAAAGATAATGGAATGTCTCCTGAAGTTGTTGTGCAGCTGATTTTACGGAACAGTGCATACATGTTACTTATGTCACTCACCGCAGATTTACACAACTAATTACATTTGCGCAATATATAATTACGAATGATTTCATGAAAATTGGTATAAATATGCTAGTATTCAACATTTCAATAATAATTTCAAACATCTTGGACAAGGATGATCGCTGCTTTTAAGATATGGGCCACAAAACACTTTATACTTCGAGACTTCACAAAATACTTTGAGATTGTGCTTATTTTGAATTAATTAATTTATTCTTTTTCTGTCCCTAGAGCAAAACCACTGGCATTCCTGATATTAAAGTTGTGGCTTGGTTTTACAAGAAACGTTATACATGTAGTAGAGTCATTTTCCTGAAATCTGTGACCATGTTGCGGATACCTTTTTTTCTTGATGGATTTGACAAATTGGACCAATTCAAAGGGAAAAAAAGCTCCTATACACCTCTTAAATGTGACGACAAACTTTTTATAGCATTTTTTTTTCAAAATGGCCGCTGACGCCATATTGAAATACATAACAAATGATATCTCGGGAACCAGATGAGCCATAACAATAAATGAAGTGTCAATTCCTACTATTTCTGGCATGACAAATCTGCTAAAATGGTATTCACTACGTTTCGGACCATCATGACCTCAGCATTCAGAATGGTGGCTGGTAGCCATCTTGAAAAACAACATTTATTATATCTCTGGAACCAGAGGGGCAAGATAGACATATAAGATGTTATTTTCAATCAATTCTGGCATTAATCCCATTTAAATCCGCCAATATACCTAACTTATTTCGTAAATCACATATTAATGCTAAGTCCGATCATCTTGAAACTTGGTGGTAATGATGACGTCATCACCTGATTTTTATTATTTTTATTAGTTTTTACATATTTCCTACCAGCAAAATATGACATAAAATGCAAGCTGATTGACTTCAAACTAGGTACAGACAAAGACTAAGGTTAAGTTGGTCCTAGAAAAGTGATGTTATTTATTATGACATCATCAATGGTCATGTGACGTCATCCTAAATGTGTATATTTTAATATTTTATATCTTGAAACTGTAAGCGCGATTGGGTTGGAATTTGGTATGAACATTATAGATAGGGACGTGTTGCAGGCAAAAATTGGAGTGGCGTCATTATGGCGTCATCATGGTTCATGAGACGTCATCTTAAAGGTGCATATTTTAAAGTCCTATTGTTTTGAGAACTTAGTCATGGAACCATGTTCTTGCATATACGTTTTCTGATTGAAAATGGACAAAACGAACCATAAACTCATAAAAAATATGATGCAGAAAAGTCCTATGTTCTTCGAAAAATGTCCCATGACTTCGAAAAATGAAATCACATCGAGTATTTTTCATAACAGTGTTTCAAATTGTCATATGTAAATCACACAATGAAGGGTTCTACTTCCAAGAGCTTAGTTGAGGATGGAGCACAAGTGTTGTGAGTACAGAATATGCCAAATGAGGCTTATGATGCCGTGGATGGTGGATTGAGTATCAACGAAAACTACTGAAAGCCTGCAAAAGTCCTTCACTTTTTCCTGATTTCATCCTCCAAAGTACTTGTCCCTTTTTTTGGAAATTTTGATCCTTCTGTTCTACTTTTTTCAACTGCCGGGTCTGTTTGAAAGCCTGTTATGTACACGGTATAACGTCCGCTACCCAAATAGACAAAGTCAAAACCACAATTTGTTGTGTAGGATCCAGACTTAGGCATATGCAACGCAACTATACGTTTGCGAATGTGACGTGAATTAAATGTACACTGTGAAATAGTGCTTACTGCGTTGCTGCTGTTTTGTAAAGTTTGAAGAATTTACTGCATAACTTAACATTTGTATTTCTCTTTGCTCTGTTGCTGCAGTTTCTTGCAGACAAAATGAATTTAAATGCAAGGATAACTCATCTGGCTTGATTTGTTTGACACATGACGTCACCTGTGATCGCTTTGCACTGTGCCCAGATGGATCAGATGAATTTTATTGCGGTAAGCATATAATATGGATTCATTAATCGTTTCGCAACTGCTTTCTGTTAAGAACATGCAGGATCATTTGCAGTTATCTCAAAAATACAGAAGTATTATCAAAAAGCTTACTAAAGATCGTATACACTGGTACGTAACACCCCGTGAAATTATTCAATACAGCTTGCTGTTATTTAGAAGAAATCAAGTACTGTATAAGCGATTTTCAACAGTTGAAAGTTCTTTTGACGGTCTTTTGACGGTATCGTGTTTCGCGATCAAAAGGTTGTGCATGTTTTTTTTTTCACTGTTTTCTCAAAAAGTATTGTATCCACTGAGTTGAGACTTCACGTGGTAAAGTTTTGACCATTCTTCTTTGGAGTTTGAGTGGTATTGTTATTAATGGAAATGAACAAAACGCAACTAAATCAAATGACCATAATTCCTTTAAGAGGCCCGTGGTGCATCATCTGGGCCCAATTTCTTGGCTCTGCTAACCACAGAAATCCGCGCTTACGATCACCATTTTGTGCTAACCGCGCTAGCTAGCACAACAATTTTGTGCTAATCCTGTAGTTAAGAATCCTTAGTTACGGGATGTACGCATGTGCAGAAGCCAAAATTCCTCGCTATGTAACGCGTGAAATTCGCTCACCGTAAGGGTGCATACCTGCAAATAAACTCCCATAGACACTAGTGCTAAATGCCCATACTTCAAAATTCTTTTAAAAATACTCAAAACTCTCACAGGTATTCAAGCTGCACAGAAAAATGATAATCAACATGTCATCTTTCGTTTTCTTTTCAATTTTTGGTGGGTTGACCATTGACTTTTCGAGATATTTTCACCCAAAGAAGACGACCCCTATTTTCCCATAAGCGGAAAAGTAGCCATCTTGAAAAACGATCCCTCCACAACATGGCAAAATAGCGCCACTTTCGAGCCCAATAGCATCCAAAATGCTCAGAATTGGAAGCCCCAAGTCCGGGCCAGAGGTTCATTACCATATCTCTTCAATTCCCCAATTTTACGGCGCTCAGAACTCTCTAATATAGAATATTTTGAGGGTATAACTTTTATTCATGAGCTTGGCGGATCGATTTACCGGTGTGCACCCGTAAGCACAGAATTTTCTGCTACGGTTAGCAGGGACTTTTTGCATACGGTAAGCAGAGACAAGAAATGGGCCCAGCTGTGATAAATGTGTAAAACAGAAAAGATGCCATCCAGTCCCTGGTCAACTAAAAGCTATACCAATGAATAGTCACAATTCAAGGCATTCCTTTGTTATTAATTTTCATCCCCTGTTAATTACTTGTGAATTAATTGGCGTGTGATGTGCTGGCGACAAATGTGTGATATTGCACTGGTGATCTTCGGCAATCGATAAAGTACTGCATCCATACTACTTGTACCAAACTGCTGTCCTTTCTACCTGTCCGGACTCCATACTTCAGGAATTCATTCAGTTCTGAACTGTACCATTATTTTTTATTGTTACTTAAAAACAGATGACTGTGGACCGCGTAACATCGGCGTCGACATAGATCTCATTAACCTCAATTCACCGCGCTACCCAGACGGGTACCCGAATAACCACAACTGCAGCTGGCTCATCAAAGGTCAGTCGAAGCAACTAGTCACTATGCGGATCAAGGATTTCGAAATGGAGGAAACGTACGATTATTTGGAGGTCGTTTTTCTTAGGAATGGGGAGGATCCCAAAGAGCGCTTCCGTCTTACGGGGGCGGATGTCTCGAGGCGGACGGTGACGTGGCGTCATGATGACGGAGTTCTCATGTTGGAAATGAAGACGGATCTAACCATCGCACGTCGAGGGTTCTCTATTCTGATAAATCATATTAAAGAAGAGGATTTGGAGGGTAAGTCTGGTGCCCATTGTCAAGGCCAGTGTTTAGGCTGGTGGGGATTCTCCAGCCTCGACTCCATTGGCGCGTGTGCGTTCCTCCGTTCCTTCACTGATTGCGTATGGCATGATGGGAAACAATATGGCGCAACAAGATCGGACCCACGGGGAACGAGGTTGGGGATTCTCCATTGCAATAATGCACAACCATACCTCTTTGACCCATATTCAATATCGCTCTTTTTATACAGTATGTGGAAGATATTGCAGTGAGTCCATCATCATAAATCTTGTACCCGTACCAAGTATCACAGCCATTCTCAGTGTGCAGTCTTGTGAGAATTTTTTGCAAAACCCCTTCTTTGTCTCTGATTTATGTTCCTTAGTTTTCATTTTCACATTAGAATAAAATTACTACATATATAAAATTCAACGTATTCAACTATATTACTTTTAAATGACAGCAATTGCATGCATTAATTGACAGAACCGTCCATATTTTGTTTTATTTTATTATACAATAATGGGCATTAGCACGTGCTCATAACATGAATTTTATTTGGGCTCACACTTAGTGCAACTTTCTACTCCTCTTGAATTTTTGAAAACTATTCGACATCAAATTTATTTAATTTTATATTTGAAGGCACCTTTTTTTTACATTTCAAATTTTCCATGCTTTCTTGACAAATATGGGCGCTGTTGCTGTGATGTCATTTCAGGAAGCCACTGCTCAGTTTAAAGATTTTCTGATAAAACATTGTGAACCCAACATTTGAAAAGAAAAACAATTATGACAGCAAAATATCCAAAATTGTGGCAAATCTGAAATAGCTGTAGCATAAGTTTATTATTCATGTGATTCTTGTTTTTTTTTTAGCATTGTGTCAACCTGATGAGTTCCATTGCGGCAAAGGCTTTTGTGTCACCAATTCTTCCCGCTGCAATGGTTACCTTGACTGCATAGAAGAAGAAGATGAACTTAATTGCGGTGGGTCTGTCATCTCAAAGTTTTCTTACTTATTTCCGGTAATGGAACCAACGATTCTTTAAGAGGGGTCCATAAAAAAGAAAAAACAGTTTTTTCCCTATAAAATATGTGTTTTAAAAATCTATTTTTTCCATTGTCTTTCGTCAACCCCAAAAATAGGAAAAAATGAATAGTGAAAGAAATTGCTTTAAAAGAAATAGAGGTAAAATAGTGGTAAAGTAGGTTGCTATTTTTTAAGAATTGGATGCTATTATTTTTTTTAAATAGGAAACTTGTTTCCGAAAATGGCGTCTTCCCAAACAATGGTTGCGAGTTGTTATACGTACACGTTATGTACATGAAGTATTCTCATTCCCACAAAATAGAAAACAAAATAGTCTGTGGATCTTGTGAAAATTTTTCAGCCTCCAAAAAATAGTCGAAAAATAGCATACTGTTTAAAAAAAAATAATAATAATATAGGATGGCGACAAGAAAAATAGAGATAAAATAATGCATATGTACCTACTTATTCTGATGTAATAGGAATACAATCTATTTTTTACCTATTTTCTAGGAGAAAATAGGTCAAAAAATAGGTAAAGAAGCTATTGTAAACAGAAATAAAATAGGATTCTGTCAGAGAAATTCTACGAGGAATTTCACTGTAGCTCGCAAGCCTCAGATAAGCCATTATATTATGTATTACATTGTATTTACTCCTTGGTAAACCCATCAAAGCCATACAGTGCAGGGGTGGATTGGGGCGGTATAATAAGTAACATATAATAGCACTGGGACTAATGGTTTAAATGCGGGGGAATCCATACACATGTAGACTTGGGACCTGGGCCACAAAAGTAGAAGGCAAGTGTCAGCGCCAGTCGCGACTTGGGACTGGACTTGTAATAGAATTTGTGATGAGCCCAGCTACAGCACTGTACGCAGGTACATCGCTCGCGGTTTGACTCCACGTATACTGAGAGCCATATCTGTAATGTTGTAGCCTCATTGTCAAACAAAACGTTGTGTCATAAAGACGTAGATCGACGAGTGAGTATTCAACTTCTCAGATTTCATTATGTTTTCCCTCCCACATTTTTTTTGCAACAGACGACATCTTCTGCCCAGGTTCCTACAAGTGCAACAACCTCAACACCAGTTCAATGTCTTCTTCCTTCACTGGCAACTTTACTCAGGCGCAGTGCATTCCACTGGCGCAAGTTTGTGACGGAGAGGAGAACTGCCCAGAGTCTGACGACGAAATTCAGTGCGGTATGTTCACTTGACCTGCGTGACCGGACTTGTGACCTGACTTGTGACCCAACTTGTGACCTGATTTGTATACCCGATTGTGACCCGATTTTGGAACTGACTTGTGACATGACTTGTATGTACCCGATTGTGACCCGACTTCTAACCTGACTTGTATACCCGATTGTGACCCGATTTTGGAACTGACTAGACCTGCTTTTTATGTACCCGATTGTGACCCAGACTTTTGAACTGACTTGTGACCTGACCTGCGACCTGACTTTTGGCCTGACTTGTGACCTTGCTTGTGATCTGACTTGTGAGCTGACTTGTGACCTTGCTTGTGACTTTGCTTGAGCTGACCTGTGACCTTGCTTGTGACCCGACTTGTGATCTGACTTGTGACCCAACTTGTGACGTGACTTATGACCTGATATTGTACTTTGTGACTAATTTGATTAAAACTCTGTCCTCTTGCGATCATAGATGTGAAGCGATGTCCCGCTGGTTGCAAGTGTAGCTACAAGGGCTCAGACTTGGTAGTCCATTGCAACAATGGCTGGGATTCCTCGACATTAGCGGGCTTGGCACTAATAACACATACTCTGTAAGTTGCCATCATCCAAAATAGTTCTTGACTAGGAAATTCGGGAAAGGTCACATTTTTGAGCAAACAGGCAAATTTGGGGAACAAACAAAATTGATTACGAGATTATTGAAGTAGGCTAAGTTCACGTGTTCTCTTTTATATGTTCACATTTTGAAACCCCTAATTAGTTGCTTAGAGCTGATGAATGCACAAGTTTATGCGGTAACTAATTGAGGTTAAACCCCAGGGTAAACCGTATTGAAAACCCATAAAGCCTACGTAAACCTCGAGGTAAACATATAGAGGTATTAAACCTCCAGGTAGACCAAGCCCCTCTAGGCAAATTCCAAGGGTAAACCTCGAGGTAAATGCGAGGTATAAAACGTCGAGGTTGGCCTCGAGGCAAACCTCCAGGTAGACCTCGTGGTAGACCTTGAGTTAAACCTCAAGGCAAACATCCAGGTAAACTTTGAAGTAAACCTAGCGGTAAGCCCCAAGGTATACCGCGATGTAAAGCCTCGAGTTAATGTCTGTTAAATGTTGCATTCTACCTTAATAAATTGCTTCAATAAACGTGGTAAGTTTGTACTGTCTGTTCCCAGAAAGTATGTTGTTACATATTTGTATAAAACATCTGATTTCCAACGGAGCGAAATGTCTTGAATTTTATTTTTCCTCAATCCATAGTCAGCTCTCCGGAGTCAACATTAGTAAGCTGGACCAGGGAGTGTTCAAAGCGATATCACATCTCAAAGTGTTGTGAGTAGTGGCAAGCATTTTGGTGCTCTGAAGATTTTTTGGCTTATAAAATAATACAATTTCTTTCTGGTTATGAAGTCAAGATAATTTCAAAATAAGTTTTGACTTTTGTCTTTAATAATCTCAGTTATTCTAATGTCAGTTTTGGGATTGCCATTTTTCAGTCACTCGCTTCTTTATTTGTATATTCTTGATGATGTTTCTTTCTGACCTTTAATTGTAGTCACCTTAGTTATATCTACGTAACTTTTTAAAAATATATATTTTAATCAATAGGTCATTAAAAAACAATCGCATAACCGAGATTCAAGAACGCACATTTGACGGCCTGGAAAACCTGTTGTGGCTGTAAGTTAAAATCTTTTCTGAAGTTTTTTGTGAATGCACCGTGGCCTCGTGGTCTGGAGCATTGAACTCGTAGTCTGTGCGTATTATTCTGCAGGTTGTGGGTTCGAGTCCAGCCTGGGGTTACAGTGCGCGTGTCCATTGGCAAGACACTTTGTCACTCATTTCTTCTCCCCACCCAGAAGTAAATGGGTACCTGTGACTGCAGGCAGAGGTGGTCATTGGGATTGATTTTAGCTGCTTTGCACTGAAATGGTAGCTTCAAACTCTACAGGGAGCTGATATTTTCTTTGGATTTTTTCTTTGTGCATGGGTATACAAACTTTGGAATGAGCCAAAATTATGATTATTTATTTGTGGGCCTCCCTTTCAAAGCATATTTTGCAGTACAGGAAAAAGCGGTTTGTGTTTTTTGAGGGAATAGTGGCTTTATATCTTAGAGCGATTGTTCCAACAATTCAACACACATTGTACTCATTTATGGCAAATATTATCAAAGAAAAGAATATCCATGATTAAAATATTGCATTTTGGTGGATTTTCAGGGTGATTGCAGAATCATTTAGTAAATTTTACTTCTCGTTGCTCCATGTGGACTTTTGAATTCACTCAAATGTTGTCTCTGTTGTGTTACAGGGACCTGTCAAATACATTGATAACTGAGCTGCAAGGTTCTGCTATGGAGGAATTGTCTAGTCTACGGGGAATGTAAGTAACAGCAGCGGTCTGACAAGGCATACCTGTGGATGTGACCCCCCCCCCCCCCCCGTGTTGACTCAAGATTAAATTGAGCTTGCAAATTGACCTCAAAAATGGGCACGATTTTAAGGGCAAGCTATGCTAAATGATTAAATTTCAAATGCATTATGTAATGGCCTTAGGAGAGCGCATCGTAGATTTCAAATATTTGCATGGGGCACAACCCCAGACCCCATAGCAGCCACGCCTGAGACTCGTGTTATTAGTTAATTAGCGGATGGTGTTGTTTTGCCAATTAAAGTTGATTTCCATACTTCTGTTGACTTTCAGTACAATTTTTGATGTGCCATTGACGAGAATCAAGACAAATGCATTTGATGGTCTCAGCCAGGTGAAAACATTGTGAGTACTTTTGTTGCTGAAGGATTCTCATTTGGACAACAAATTATGTGTACGTCGAGGCCTCTAACTGCAATCTATCACTAAAGCGATGAACAAAAATGACACCATCTGACCAAATAAACAAAGTACAATGAAATTTGGTTGATCATTATTTCTCTTACCATTCACAGCAGTGACAGTCAGCATAAACTTGACAAGAATGCACACATTCGCATGCATGTTTGAACCGAGTATAAACCTGAAAGTTCAAAGTCCATCTACCAGCATGGAGTAGGAGATCTTTAGCTTGATACATAATTATCTAGATACTTCTCCTGATATAAATTCAATCTTCAATAAATAAATTCCTCACTTGGTGCAAATTTTGACCAACCATCAACACTTTATTTCAGGATAATTGTCCGCAACATCGAAGGCCTGCCACCACTTGTAGTAGAAGATGGTGCATTTCAAGGACTTGATAATGTGGCAGAGTTGTAAGTATAATAATAAGTTGCTCGCCAAACCATTTAAGGGCGTATCGGGGGAGGGGGGGGGGGGGCAAAGGGGGCAAAGGGGGCCATGGCCTCCCCCCTATGGCCTCCCCCCCCTAAAAAAGAAACCAATTTTTTTTAATGAGACGTCGCAATAAAGGCAGTCAATGAGTACAGCACCATCTTTTCCGAAAAAAGAAACATAGGTTAAAGTGGTCAGAAATTGCCCCAGATCGCACCACAGAGCATCTAGAATCCAAAAAATTTTCGGGGCCCTTAAGCAAGCTCCGAACCCCACGCCGTAATTTTTTTGGCCCCCTTTTTTGGGGGACCAAAAAATTGTTTGGCCCCCCCCCAAAAAAATGTGTGTTCTGGATCCGCCCTTGAAACAATTGAATGTATTATTTAAATCAGTCTGCACTTCTTGGCCTATGTAACCTTTTCTGGGTTTTTGTGTAACCTTTTCTGGGTTTTTGTCTTCTGGCAGGTATGTAGATGACCACAGACTGTGTTGTTTCTTCCCCTCGTCCGAGTGTAAGACGCTCGAGCCACAGCCTCCACTTTTTATGTGCAGCGAACTGATGCCTAAAATGGTCCTCAAAGTATTCATGTGGATTCTTGGTGTTAGCCCCCTTATCGGCAACATCTATGTAATGGTGTGGCGATATCGGGAAAGGTCGAAGGGCAGAGAAAGTCGAATCGTTCAGTCTTTCCTGGTGTTTAATCTAGCCGTGTCGGATGCCCTCATGGGGTTGTACATGCTGATCATAGCCAGCGCCGATGTGTATTTTGGAGAGCGTTATTTTGAAGTGTCTATGGAATGGCGGACGAGCCCCATGTGCAAGATTGCTGGGTTTATTTCCATCATCGGCAGCGAGGCTTCTGTGTTCTTTCTCACCCTCATCAGCATCGACAGGTATCTTGCAATCGTCCACCCGTTAAAAAAATACAATCTTTGTCCGGAGTCTTCTCGGATTGCTGCATTGTGTGTCTGGATTGGTACGGTGATCGTTGGACTGGTCCCAACAATACTTGCATCCGACTCTTCATCTGATGTTTACGGCCTCTCTGATGTTTGCATTGGGCTGCCACTGATGACTAAAGTTACTGAATATGAGACGGTGGATCAGCAGATTGATGCTGGGGGCGTGGCGAACATCACTGTGGGGATACCGTATCCTGTCGATTACCGAGCTTCCTGGTTCTTCTCCATCGCTCTGTTCCTTGGGGTCAACCTTCTGTGCTTCACCGTAATCCTCATCTGCTACATTGCCATCTTCAGGCGAGTCCGGGCATCGAGCAAGAAGGTGAACAGCAGTAGCCGGGACGATGAACAGCGTTTGGCCATCAAGATGGCCGCCATCATCCTGACGGATTTTGTCTGTTGGGTACCCGTCATCATCATGGGTATTCTGTCACAGGCCCGCGTGGTGGAGATACCAACGGAAGCCTATGCCTGGATTGTCGTTTTCATCCTTCCCATCAACTCCTCTCTCAACCCCTACCTCTATACCATTGCAGATCTGTGCTACCAACAACAGAAAGCTGCTTCTGTAAGGAGGAAGTATGAGCTGGCCATGAAGAACGCTCGTTCCAATTCAGAGAACCGATCAAATGTTCCTGTTGTGAAAACTGTGACCTCAGAAACCCAATTATAAGTCGATAGCAAAGATGATATGGGTGATGCAGAATATAACTTCCTCCAACCCCAAAATAGCTGTAAAGTAAGATGCCATGTTATTTAGTTTATAAAACAACATTTACTTATTGCCGGATCTTTTTTGTTAATCTGCCAGATTTATTTCCAAAACGTTTAACAATTATAAACAGAGTAATACCAACAAATTAATGTATACATTATAATATTGCATCTAGTCTTTTATATACTATATAATCACATGTACTCAGTTTTTGGTTTTATTTTGGTAAAGTAAAAGGTCACGTTACATCCCCTTCCTGATGGACAATTGGGGACAACGCTGATGTCGCCTTTCACGGCGCAGATCTGCTCTTCACAGCTTGGTGTGATTCTGAGCATCTTGCATATTTTGTGAGGAGGAACAGTTTTGGTCGATCCCAAATGCTTTAAGATCCCCTTTGATGGCATACATGTATTTCAAACATCTTCCATGAGGTCCGGTACGTACATGTTCCTGTCGTGAGCTCTCTGAATAGGACTTGTTTTGGGAACCTGTCATCATGCATCCGTCAGACGTGTCTGACCCATCTTGAGGACCTCACCATGATTGTAACTGTGCAGAGGCCAGCACTTCAGAGAGCTCCCACATTGCTTATCTTGTGCCAATAGCAGACAACAAAAATCTGTCTGAATAAGCAACGTTGGCCAAACAGTATTGTGTAGTTGTTGTAAGTGTTTACGGTCTGTGCTTCACCGTAATCCTCATCTGCTACATTGCCATCTTCAGCCGAGTCAGGGCATCTAGCAAGCGTGTGAGCCGCAATAGGTTATATTTCGGTATATTAAAGGTGTTGTCACGGTGACAATTAAGACCTTTTAAATACCGAAATATAATTAACCTATTGCGGCTCACACGCTTGCTCGATGTCGACTTTCAAGGCACAGTGCTGCTCTTTCGGCTTGGTGTGACTCTGAGCGTCTTCCGCAATCATGTACATATTGCAGCTCGAGAGTAGTACAACTTCAGTTGAGGTTAATAAGATGCATGTGTAACTTCAAACGCCCAAATAGATGTAGATAAAGACGTCAGTGCCATTTACCTTTAAAAAGAATTTCTTGCAGCTTTTTTTTCTTCAAACTCGTGTTTTTTTATGTTACAATTTTATATACAATAGGCCTTACAATAACAATGAACGTTGTAAAGAAAAAGGCTTATCCTTTGAATTGTACAAATTATTTCATTATAATAATCATCTTACATGTTTTATAGCTTTACTCAGTTTCTAATTTTATTTTGGTAACTTTAAAGTATTATGCTCGGTAAAATATATGTCAGTAATCAAGAAATTATGGTACATGTACAGGTATATTAATGATGTGGCCTCCATTTATTGGCTTCCTTTATTCAGTGGAGTACTGTGGCCTCGTGGTTAAGGGCACTGATTCGTGGTCTGCGGGTAAAGCTGCAGGTTGTGGGTTCGAGTCCTCGCGGAGTCATGGTACGTGTGCCCTTGGGCAAGGCACTTTGTCACTCATTGCTTCTCTGCACCCAGGAGTAAATGGGTACCTGTGAGGGCAGATATGGTTATTGTGATTGAATTAGCTTCCTTGCGCCTAACAGGCTGCATCGAGCTGTATACTCCCCAGGGAGCTGAGATGGTATTTGGAATGTTTTATGTGCCCAATGAGCAGGGGTAATAATGATGTAGCGCCTTGAGCACCAGTCCTGGTGGATACGTGCGCTTTATATTAATATCCACTATTATTATTCTATCCACTATTCAGAAACTCTTTAGCGTTATACTCCAACGGTAAATTGTACCTTTATATATTTGGAATAAAATCTTGTTATTAATCACTAATTGCAGCTTTTTTTTAAATTGCCATTTTTTATGTTATTTTATATACAGTAGGCCTTACATTAACAATGAACGTTGTAAAGAAAAGGGCTTATTCTTTGAATTGTACAAATCATTTCATTATAATAATCATCTTACAATAGGCCTTACAATAACAATGAACGTTGTAAAGAAAAAGGCTTATCCTTTGAATTGCACAAATTATTTCATTATAATAATCATCTTACATGTTTTATAGCTGTACTCAGGTTCTGGTTTTTATTTGTGTAACTTAAAGGTATTAGGCTCGGTAAAATGTATGTAAGTAATCAAGAATTTATGGTACATGTACAGGTATATTAATGATTTTGCCTCCATTTATTGGCTTCCTTTATTCGGAAACTCTCTAGCGTTTATACTCCATCGGTAAATTGTACCTTCATATATTTGGAATAAAATCTTGTTATTAATCACTAATAGAAGATAGTATGCTTTGAAATCAATACTGTAACTCATCTAAAGTACAACTACACTTTGTAGATGAAGGGCACAAAATATGCTCCAGATGACGTTTTACCCTTGAGCTGGCATTTGGCTTATGACCATAGATGCTCCTGGTTACAGTCTTTAAAGTCGGTGAGGTATAGGTCAAAAATTAGTACATGAATGTAGTTTGACTCAACAACTTTCGATGCATAAACACTCTCTGCTTTGTATCACAAAACACTGAACAGTAGACCTCATCCTCCATGGCTTTATATGACCGCGGGGCTCTTCGGCCCTGTGCACACACAGCTCCAGTCTTCGGGAATCCAGGCTGCCTTGAGTTAATATCAGCCAATCCATCCCAAACATATAGCTGGGATAGTTATGTCGGAAACAGTTTCTCCAACACGAAGGTCTATGCGTGCCGCGCGGAGCACCGTTCAGTGGTCTTCCATCAACTTGTCTCACCCCAGTGTTCCATCATTCTAAATCAGGTCGCGGTTCTTTTGGCAGTGTGTAGTACGGGTAGTACGTACAAGTGTTGATCTTATGAACAAGTCATTGGCACCGATGTCAATCAACAAATAGATCTTGGTGGACCTCACCGACCAATTGAACAAGCCATAGGACAGCCACTTTACTGGAGGTGCCAGCTCAGGCCAGCTGCCGAGTCTCTTTCTGGTTCTGAGAGCGTTTGCGCTTCGGCTTGGATGTGCCCCTGTTAGCCTCAGATGAATGTATATCGATCGGCTCTGGCTCACGTACCTCTTTGGGGCCGGGTGCACTTCTTGATACCCCGAAAACTTTTGATCCATCTCGCTCAAATCGACTGTTCCTTTTTTATTTTCACAGATGACTGGATCCAAACCAGTAAATATCCTTAACTCGTATCCACTTTTGCCTGGCCCGCAGAGATGCCTCCAATATTGAAATTCGCTCAATCAACCGCGGATTCCGCCCCCCCCCCCTAAAATCTCGGCCATCGAGTGACGAAACATTTTGGAACTCGGCACATGCATAGAGCAACTCTTCCTAAACATACCCAAGAAATTTCATGACTATAGGTGATAGGGTTTTGGAATTATGGCTAATTAATTATTCATATGTACGAATGGCAATTCTGCTCTTTGTACACGACGTATATGCGAAAATTCAGTTTTCACGGTGCGTAGCGCCGGAAATTTTTTCGCTACGCGGCAACCCGTGGTTCGATTTTTATGTTTTTGGTATCAAAAGATGCGCAAAGCTCGATGCTAAAAAGTCATAACAGCTCGGGTCGCGAATTTTTTTTTTTTTAGAGGCTATCACGGAAAATGTTGAGGGGGGGGGGTGGCGGATTCCGCCCCCCCCCCGCCCCTTTAGGGTTAAGGTTGTCGGCGTGTTAGTCACACTACTGTTTCTCCACAACAACATCTTGTAGCTTTCCTTTGAACCTTCTCAAGAGATGAGATGTGGTTTAATCTGTATGGATTCTAAACAGCAATTCTGTTTTACAGGTGTGGTCACACCTGCTAATTGCAAGTGTGCCGTGCGTGGCTGTCATGATTCTCTCGAAGGTGGTTAATAAGCGCCCTCTCTTGTTTGCGCCGCACGCCTCTATAGAGGGAGCCCTCTATATATTGACATGGGTTTTTAATCGCCGGTATCGACTTAATGATCAGATGATGAATTGACGAAAATTCTGGAGTCGTATTTGCGTACAAATCCTGCCACAATCATGGCGAACGGAACACTTATTTACGGTTTAGTGTTCCTATGTCTAGGTTTTCGGGAAAAGTTCCATACTCGGATGTCAATTTATCTGCTGCCAAACATATTTATTGTCACCTCACCTTGTCATTTGAACCAAAAGAAATCCAGGAAGCTGTGTAAAGGTGAAAAAAATGTACTCAAAATGTGTTTTTAGAGCACATTTTGGATGCATACGTCGTGCAGAACTAACTTGAAGCAGCCGGTCAAAACTGATTGTAGTGGCTGAAAAGACATGGGTACGTTATACACGTGACATCAACAACCATGACGTCGCATGAGCCTGCCAATGATAGTTCAATACGTCATTATGAATATTTATTTTCTCATGAATATTTAGTTTATTTCAATGGATACTTCAAATACGTCCAAAGATTGATGATTGCAACAGCGATCGTGCGCGGCCTAGCGGTTAAGAGTCTCGTGTATCAAGCAAGCGCCAGAGGTTCGAATCCCGATGAAGTAACTGACTGATTAATAAATAGAAATTAAGGAAAGGAGAGGGTGAGAGTAGAGGAGGGAAAGTGGAGGAATAACCATAAAAGATGTAACTTTTGGCGCTAGAAAATTAATTGAAAAAAGTGACGTCCGAGTATGGAATTTTTTCCATTCCCGTAATGTGAGAAAACCTAGACATAGGAACACTAAACCGTAAATAAGTGTTCCGTTCGCCATGATTGTGGCAGGATTTGTACGCAAATACGACTCCAGAATTTTCGTCAATTCATCATCTGATCATTAAGTCGATACCGGCGATTAAAAACCCATGTCAATATATAGAGGGCTCCCTCTATAGAGGCGTGCGGCGCAAACAAGAGAGGGCGCTTATTAACCACCTTCGAGAGAATCATGACAGCCACACACGGCACACTTGCAATTAGCAGGTGTGACCACACCTGTAAAACAGAATTGCTGTTTGGAATCCATACAGATTAAACCACATCTC